CTGCTCACTGGCTGAGCGAGGTGCGGGTGCAGCACCGAGGGTTGCGATCCCGTTGCCGGTCACGAAAAAAGACAAAAAAAAAAAGGAAAAAAAAAATTTATTACACTAATACAAAGGAATCTTATATTTTAAAAATTTACTATCTTATGTAGTTTTTCTTATCACAAACTAAGAATATATCTAAATTTATCATAAAGTAGAAAATATCTAAAAACATGAAGCATATGTATGTCCTCAGTGTCTATACATAACACTTCAGTACTTGTTAAAGGCACCATTTCATTGGGACTGTGCTGTGAGTACTGACATATTAGGAAATCAGAACCCAGGTATAACACAGGGCTCAGGAACCTGTTTTGAAAAGTTGAGTTAATTTATTAGCAAATATAACTTTTTATTTCTTTTTAAATTTCTTTTTATATTTCATGAGTTTTTAAGTTTGTTCTAAATTATATTAATATGTGCTTATGAAAAATAAAATTAAACAATACAGTAAAGTAAAATTAACCAATAGAAGGAAAAATTTAGTATCACCTTCTAGTTTCACTTTCCCCCAAATAAATACTAGGTTATTGTTTAGTGGCTATCTCCAACCTTTTAAATTCACTTTCTAAATTGCAGCAAGCCAACTTTTAAAGTTATTATGGGTGTTTAAAGTTATAGGAATTCTATGGGGTATCTTTAGGTAAAGCAAATTTGTATTGAGGTTAATCCATAGTTTATATATTTTATAGATTTGTTCTTTAATATATTATGGTTTGTTCAAATGAGAGTAATACGGCAGTACCAAATGCTATAACAGTTGTAATTGGCTGGTGCTAGGCTCTTTTTTGTTTGTTTTTATGGAGTTTCTTTCATTTTTTTTTCAAAGCCAGGTTTATTGAGGTAGATGAGAGTAATATGGTAGTACCAAATGCTATAACAGTTGTAATTGGCTGGTGCTAGGCTTTTTTTTGTTTGTTTTTATGGAGTTTCTTTCATTTTTTTTTCAAAGCCAGGTTTATTGAGGTAAGCTTTATGTACAGTGTAATTCACCTGTTTTGTTGTATAATTCTATGAGTTCAGACAAATACACATTTCTGCAAATGATGCTTGAAATGTTTAAGAAACTTGATAGATCAATCTTATCTTTTTCTCTTTTAGACTCTAAAGGAGAACCTCTTCACATTGTTAACTCTGCTAATGTCACTGATGAACCCCTTCTGAAAATGTTATTGACAAAGGTATCTACATTCATTTCTAGCATCCTTTAATATTTGATTATATGAAGTTATATATGTTCCCATCATATTTAATATTCTTATTTTCTCCCCTAAAATTTTTCCTTCTAAACTGGTTGATTGTGGTGAATCATGCAAGCATGTGAAAATCCTGGTGTATTAGTCCATTTCTGTTGCTTATAACGTAAATACCTGCAACTAGTTAATTTATAAAGAAAATGAAATTTATTTCTTACAGTTTCAGAGGATGGAAGCCCAAGGTCTGGGGAACACATCCGATGAGGGTCTTCTTTGCTGGTGGCTTTATGGCAATGTAGGGATCTCACATGGCAGAAAACAGTGGAGCAGAGAGAGAAAGAAAGATAGCTCCTCACGCCCTCTCCTTTTAAAGCCCTCAGAACCATGCCCATGACCACCATTAAATCATCAATTTAATCACCTCTTCAAGGCCACACCTTTCAATTATAATAGGATTTCCCATCCTCTTAACACTGTCACAGTGGGGATCAAGCCTCCAACACATTAAACTTTTGGGGGGGCACAATTCAATCCATAATACCTGGATACTTTCATTAACCTTTTGAGTTACCCTACATTGTTGAATAAATGGAAGTAATCCAAAGCTCCACTGTAATCCAAAGCAAAGTGTGTTATAATCTAGATATACAAGCATTTCCCCCTACCTTTTAGATTAGTATATATAATACACTAGCATTTCCTCCAGAGCAGGATAAAAAATTTGAGTTTTTGTTGCTCTAAAATGTGAGAAATGCAATGTGGTCAGTTTTTTTCACACGTTCTTCCTCACCATTAAGAAATATTCTATGCTTATAGTGTTTTAATAGCATACTTTGAAAAGTAAAGAATGTGTGTATTTTGTGTGTGAATTTTTATTGTTCATAACCCAGTTGTTTAATTTTCCACTGTTTGTAGGCAGACAGCGATGGACCAGAGTTTAAAACTATTCATGACAATACCAAACAGAGACTGAAGGTGAATCTTCTATAATTCACTATGAGGCTGGGTTGTGTTAGTGATTAGCTCTAGCTTCATAGCCATTTTCAGTTGTGAGATTATGAATTCTAAAATTAAAATAAGGGTGGCAATAATAATAGATAATAATTTACCTAATTTTGTAGGTAAAATAAATGGTTATAGAATTGAAATAAAGTTCTTACAAACTTATTCGATTTGATTTCTTAAAAGATTATTTGTTTCCCAGATGTGAACTAATGATTACTTGTCAAGTATTTTGTTCAGTTCATTCAGCTATCATAATTTGGCCTAGTGTTAGTGGAAGCATTAAACATTTGAATTATGTATTGGCTTTAGGATAAGAATAAGCTTAAGGATGAGGATAGAGCATGGCCTAATATAGACATTGCTCACAGTCCACTGGGGCTCATATAGTCAGTCTTGGAAACATCTGAAATGTGCTTTTAGGCTTGACAATACTTTATATACCATTATTTAGAACTCATCAAGTTCTGTTGAGGTTAGAGCTATGGTCACACATAGGAGTGGGCAGAGTGTTGGTTTATTGTTTGGTAAGGATTATAATAGCGATGTTTGGTAAACATCGTAATAGTAAGTTCTTCCTTCAAAAAAAAAAAGGTCTTTAATTGAACTTTTCTTGTGCTGCTTGTATATATTGAAGCTTAAGATGATGTTTGGTAAACATCGTAATAGTAAGTTCTTCCTTCAAAAAAAAAAAAGGTCTTTAATTGAACTTTTCTTGTGCTGCTTGTATATATTGAAGCTTAAGATAAAAATATTACCATATCTGAAATCTTATCTCTAATTGTTCATTATCTTAGGTTTCATTTTCATCCTTAGACTTAGTACTTCATTTGGAAGCTTTACTTTCCTTCATGGATTTTTTATCATCTGCTGTTCCATCCTCTGAACCTTCCTCTTCTGAGAAGGAATCTGAGCTGAAACCATTTGTGGGGGAATCCAGAAATATTGCTATCAAACCTGGTATTAATTTTTGAGTCATGGTCTAATACTTTCTATCTGAACTCATGTAATAACTTGTTTTTCAAGCTAAGATAAATATTTAGCACCTTGATATTATAGCTGCTCTGACAGATTAGGTTAGTTTCAAAAGAAAGCATGTTTTTTCCCGATGGAATTATAGGGCAATATAGTGAAGGATTTTAAATAAATGTTGTTTAATATTAGTCACGTATTTAGGAAAGCATGTTTTTCCCTATGGGATTATAGGGCAATATAGTGAAGGATTTTAAATAAATGTTGTTTAATATTAGTCACGTATTTATATTTGATTTCACTGTCTAGCTTTTATGTAAAATAAAAGTTGTATATACTTTGCATTTACTTCTCTGCAGTCTTCAGTCCAATGAAAGTGAGAAAGGAAGAAGTTAAGGTACAGATACAATAATGTATTGTGACAATGGCCCAGTTCAATTAGTCAAGTAGGTCTTTCTGGTATTGAACAATTTTGTGCTTTGCAGGACACCAAAGGAAGCATCTTCTGGAAGAGACAAACTCAGTTTGGTTTCTAACTATAACTATATTCAGATCACATACAGATAAAGGCACATGTTCCTCAGGCACATGACTTGTTCTATGAAGTATTAGGTATGAAGTATTCTGAGCAAATAAAGAACATGTGTTACCGAAACAAGGGGGTTCCTCATCCGCCACCCAAATGACTAAGAAGTCTCTGACACCAAAGTATGTAGTGTTAAAGGTTAGCATTTATTTGGATGGCCATTCAAAGGAGCCAATGGTAGCTAAAGGAGCTTTAAGACCCCGGACTACCTGACTACTTAAAATCACAAGCATTTATAGAGCAGAATCATGTTTGGGGGTTCTGTGAGTTGTTTGTGAATCTGATTAGTTGGTGGTGAGATCAGCAAAATTATTTCTGGCATCCTGGCTAAGGTCCTCCTTAGCTCCCTCCAGTCTGGAGGCATATAAACTTCAAGGCAGGCTTGTAATTGTTATCTGCAAAGACAACTTGAGATTGGTGTTATAGATGTTATCTTAAGCCATAAGGCGTTTTTATTTAAGGAACAAACATCCTGACTGCTAAGTCAAGTCTTAGCCTAAGGAAGTTTACATTTAATCAACTCTACTCCTATTAGTAACTGAATTTGTTACTTTTAGGAATCCAGCCCATCCTCCTTGGTCAAGTACATTTTCTTTAGCTATCTCCCTTTCCCCCAGTCAAGGCCTGCTCTGTCTGGGACAGAAGAATAGCTAGAAGAGATCAGGGTCTGTCCCCCAATTTCATACATGCCTGTTTTTAAGCCTGATACCATTTTAATTTTTTGTTTTTATATTATGTGATGCGAATATTTAACATCTAATAATTTTCAGACCATTACCAGTTTCAGTTATATCTATATTACTGGCATCTTCAGTGTAAAACTGTCAGTACTATTAGGTCTGATACAAGGATTTGATATTCTTAAAACCATGGAACAGATTAGTAATTTTTTTATAAACTAGAGTAAGAGTGTTTTACCTTCTTTGTCTTTAATGTACTTGTCACATTAATATCCTTAGACATATAATATCCTTAGAAGTACCTCTTCTTTATATAACATATACATAAAGTAAATGTAGTACAGTTGAATAAATGAAAAAGCAATGTTTTAAACTCACAGCATACTTCAAATAATATTTATCCAAAGAGTCATCCAGTTTTGCTATATGGTTGGTCTTTATGTTTTGATTAATGCTATTTTATGTTAAATATGAAGGGCAAAAAAACAACCGTCATCATATTGGTGATTAAGGACTACTATCCCCCATGCTTTTGCAGTTTCATAGAAAGATCTGTTTGCTTCAGGCAACACAGTTTTCTAGAAAAATTTATACTAAATTTATCAATCAGGACCTGAACTAGAGTAGTTTAAGGGAGTTCATTCCATCGTGATTCTTACACATGCACACACGCATACACACATTATAAAAAAATACTTTTTTGTGTTTTTTTAACTGTAGCCCTTTATGTTTGTTTCTCATAGCATTTATTTTAGATTTTTTATGGAGCAATAAAGTATAATCTAGAGAAATTGATTGTATGATTAATAATGTGTATTGTAAGTGCCATAGTAAATCATATGTATTTTGTTAACTATTCATCACTCTTTCAGTTTTTCATGACTTATTCTGATATATGATATGAAAAGGAGTTCAAAATCAAAATCTTGGAGTAATAGAATTCTAATATAGAAGGTCTTTTTTCCCAGAGGAAAAATTATAGTAAAGTTTCCATCTAGTAAATTATACATTCAAGGTGCTATTAATAGTTGTCTTTATTCTTAATTGAAAAGGAAACATGCTAGTTTTTGTCTGATTGGCATTAGAAAATTGTTTCATATTCATATTAGTTATATGTTATCTTAACGGAGGTCTTTTTGGTTCCTCATAGTACATTATGTACTTTTGTTTTAGTGAATTTGAGATTATTTTGAGTGTTACATCTTTTGCAGTTTGCTAATCACAAGTTTCTATTACTTTTCAGTGTCCAGCAGCATTTCTCAAGATGATGTGTTTGATTTAAAGGTCATAGCTGAATTAAATGCATTTAATGTCTTTATCTGTGATCAGAAGTGTAACATTGCAGATATTAAAATACATGGTAATTATTAAATTATTAAATCATTAAAATACAAATAACTATTCCTTGGTTACTTGTTTCTTTATATAAACATCCAAGAAAAATGAATTTGTACATGGTGGATTTCTTGTAGTCATCTTTTGATTTACTTATATTGAATACTTATGCAAACTTTTAAAAGATGTACTTTGACACATTAGAAGTAAATTTGTTATGATTCATTGCTGACAAGACATTTCTTATGTATTTAAAAAATTTCAGAATAAATCTAAGGCTTAATCTCTTACTGTTCTGATTGCATTTTCAGAATTTTACTGAGTAAAAAAATGTCGTTATCTTTATTTTCCTTGTCATTTATGCATATATATAGCATCAGGATACTAAGTTTTTAAAAGAAATTTTGTAAGTTTTTTCCAGCATCAGCTTGATATAAGAATGAGTCAACATGATATAATGGTTCAGATCTTATTGTGGATTCTAGAGCCAGCCCGTCAAGGTTCAAGTCCTGAAGCTAACACTGCCCGACCTTGAGCAAATATGCATATATATAGCATCAGGATACTAAGTTTTTAAAAGAAATTTTGTAAGCTTTTTCCAGCATCAGCTTGATATAAGAATGAGTCAACATGATATAATGGTTCAGATCTTATTGTGGGTTCTAGAGCCAGCCCGTCAAGGTTCAAGTCCTGAAGCTAACACTGCCCGACCTTGAGCAAATTAATTAACCTTCCTATGTCTTAGTTCCCTCTTCTGTAAAATGGAAATAGTAATAATTATTCAGGGGATTGTTGTAAGGATTAAAGAAAGTTTGTGCATTTACATATGTTTAGAAAAGTGCTTGGTATACAGTAAGCACTTTTTAAAAAAGTTAAAAAAATTAGCTCCATTCAACAAATATTACTATATATCTATGTTATGGGAGGTATGGTAATGGTTTGGGCTTGGATCTTAGCTACAGACATTCTCTACTCAGGAGCAGTTGTAGAAATCATTATGCCTTTAGAAATTATGAGTGACATTTTTTTGGTGAGAAATCTTAGAAGACTATATTCTAGATAGTTTATTGTAGAAATAAGAATACTTACTCATCAAATGATGTTCATTTATTTTTAGTTACTGGAGCAACAGTTTTAATATAATAAACTTTTGTGAGATAGATTTAAACAAATACATTGTCTTCCTAAATGACACTTGTGATCTTGCCAATGCCCAGGATGTTTATGTTTGGAGAAATGTCATTAATTTTCTTTGGAATTTGTTGTTGTTTTGTTTTAAAATTTCCACTACTTATGTATGGGATGCTGGTGACACTTAAATATATTATAAGCTTTCTTAGGTGTCTCATACTTGGAAGCTGATACCTTTAATATATTTCATTATGAGTAATTTTTATTCACTGTATATTTTGGTAGTATATTATTGAATTTAAATACCATTGAATTGGCTCACTAAGTTTGGATGAAAAGCTTGTAAATATTATGTTTCCCATAGGAATGGATGCCTCTATTTCTGTGAAGCCAAAGGAGACTGATGTGTTTGCCAGACTTAAGAATATCATAGTTACAAATGTTGATTTGTTGTCTACTCACAAAAAGGTAATTAAAAAATAGATTTCTATATTGAAATTTATTTTGTTCTTTGGATTTGAGATGCTGTTATTCATTTGTTCAGTATACATTTATTAGTCTGTCATGTGACAGGTACTTTGTTAGGGGTTGGAGATGAAAATGGTAATAGCCTGCTTTCACCTTGTATATAGACTAGGTCTCCTGGTATACAGTGATTTGAAAGAGTTATTTCTGCACAAGTAAGTGATCGATATTTCTATTGATAAAATGATTTTTATAGAAATAGGAAAAAGTTACTGTCAAGTAGAATGTTTTTAACTGGTAATTTTTAAGGTTGGATTTATATGTTGATTCTTCATATATACATTTATATGTACATGTATATATATATATATATATATATATATATATATATATATATATATATATACACACACATTGGATTTATATGTTGATTCTTCATATATACATTTATATGTACATGTATATATATATATATAAATATATATATATATATATACATTTATATGTACATGTATATATATATATATATATATATATACACACACACACACACACACACAAACAAACATATCCAGGATTCTGTAATAAGGGAACATATTTATAATACATTGATAAGGGCTTTACAGCTCTTTTGATTTAATAACCAGTTAATCTAATACTTTTAGGCTGTCTCTATTTTGGGAGATGAAGTCTTTAGGTTCCAAATGACTCTTTATCCAGATGCTACAGAAGGAGAGTCCTATGCTGATATGTCTAAAGTAGACGGGAAACTTAGTCTCAAAGTGGGTTGTATTCAGATTGTTTATGTTCATAAATTCTTCATGTCTCTTTTGGTAAGTTTTTATTTTAACTGTGTTTATTTCTCATTGAGGCTTAAATATCTTTGCATGTACAACTGAACCTAGATAGTCAAAATCTTCACTGATAGGGCTGTATCATAAACACCCAAATGCTAAACAGAATATTATATTTAAGGAAATCCTTTATATGGTAGATAAACAAACAAATTTTTAAAATTATTGTTTTGTGCATATAAACTATTATTCTCTAATGTTTTCATAGTTATGTATTTTAAAAGTACTTTTTGATGTTTTAATTTAGGGCTTTTCAGTGTTACTTCTTTGATGAAATACCCTTAAGGATATTTAACTAAAAGAATTTTATGAGGAAGCTCATCATGAATTTGAAGGACTGATATTGGAACTTAGAGCTTTTGCTTATAATTGTGATCAACAAGACCCTGAAATTCTTTTATTTTTATTATTTATTTCCATTTAAGTGTCATGGACTGAAGAGTTTAAATCTACCTATGCCTCTTAGCAGGGTTTCTAAGTCATGAATTTCTGCCTAAACCATGTTCACTTTTCCAGAAAGTAATTTATGTGGGGGGTGGGGATTAAGTTGCTTTTGTATTATTAATGGATGAGCATCAAGAATATTGCTAAGAATGATCTTTTCTTCATTGGGAAAAATCTATTTTTTAGTTGAAATTGTGATGACATGCATCTTGCTATAAATAATGAAGTTTTGATTCTTATTAATGAATGCAGGATGATAGACAGTTAACTGTCTTTACTCATGTTTGAATACATTTTAAAAATAAATCTTGAGAAATAAGCTGCCAGGACCTTAGTTTCTAAGAATTAACTTTATTCCTATAACCTAGAGATACAGAATTGAACCCATTGTTGGAGAAATATAGTGCTGTCTTTCATTCTTTTCATTTAAATTCAAGTGTAAAATGGCCAACATTCATTAATAAAAAGGAGATTTAAAGAAGAATTATTACAAAAATTTGTCATAAAAATCAAATAATTATGAAATGTAGTCATGCAACACATAACGATGTTTTGGTCAACAACGGACCACATATATGACACTGGTCCCAAAAGATCATAATGGCTATACCATATAGCCTGGTGGGTGTGTAGAAAGCCATACCATTTAGGTTTGTGTAGGTATGATGTTTGCACAATGACAGAATCTCCTAACAACACATTTCTCAGAACATGTCCCTATCTTTAAGCGACGCATGACTATATAAAATTAAAGTCGAAGAATTCTTCCTTCCAAGAGGTAACTATCCTTCCTTCCTAGAGGTAACTTCCTAGAGGTTAACTATTGAAGGAAGAATTCTTCCTTCCTAGAGGTAACTATTGTTATCTCTTGGTACTAGAGGTAGCTCTAGTATCTTTCTAGACTTTACTGTCTTCGTGTACACAATCATAAATAAGTCTCTTTTATATTCTCTTTTATTTAATTTTTCTTTTTAAAGTAAGTGATTTTTAAAGTTTTTTCTTTTAAAAGTAAATACCTTTTTGGGGAAACTCTCTAAATATGGGTCTCTTCTAACAGAACTTCCTCAACAATTTCCAAACTGCCAAAGAAGCTTTGAGTGCAGCCACAGTCCAGGCTGCAGAAAGAGCTGCTTCCAGCATGAAAGACTTGGCTCAAAAAAGTTTTCGCCTTTCGATGGATATCAATTTGAAAGCACCAGTTATTATTATTCCTCAGTCTTCTGTATCACCTAATGCCATTATAGCAGATTTGGGTTTAATCAGAATTGAAAACCAATTTAGCTTGGTTCCTATGAAGCATAATTATTCTCTTCCCCCAGTCATTGATAAAATGAACATCCAACTCACCCAGTTGAAACTGTCCAGGTATAAATATATAATTTAATTGTGTATTTTAGAAATAGGATTTCATCGCATTTTTGCCTAGGGTAAAATACTCTGGTAATTTGTGGTTCTCGTTCCTTATTTCTTCTAATTATGAAATGTTGACTATTGGTTTTTTTGTAGGTGGTTAATAGTAGTGCACCTCATAGAATCTGTATTTTGTCTTACTAAACTTATAATGTGATTTTTTTCCATTCTATAACAATTACCTATTATAAAATTATAGTTTACACAATAATACTTAATATACATTTATTTTCATTTTTATATTTTTCGCTTTGCACGTAGCTGTTTCCTTGCACCGAGGCCGTGGGTTTGGATCCTGTATAGGGATGGCTGGTGCGCTCACTGGCTGAGTGTGGTGTGGACAATGCCGAGCCAAGTGTTACAATCCCCTTATCAGTCAAAAAAAAAAAAGAAAACTTCCTAGAATTTAATAAAATTTAAGGTTTATTTCTCATTTTGAAACCTTGTCACATTTGAGAATTCTCAGTGAGGTATCTTAATTAAGTATTATTGAATCTAAATGGGAAAGTGTTGGCTCTGTTGAATGGCAAGTACTTATGTGGTTGTGCAGATGGTTGTTGGCAGCCAAGCTAGAAATGATTATTTCCATATATTTGTTTAGCTTTTAAATTTGGTGAGTTTTTCCAATCTTGAAAAGCTTGAGTTTGGAGAAATACTAATAACATATTAAGGGCTTATGTATATGACCACTTTCTTTATTCTCCAGTTTTAGGAGATGTAACATTTGCTTGTATGATGTTGTACTAGATGCTATATCAAACAGTCTTTGTGATAGATGATAATGCAATAATCATACTTAGTGATAATTATATTGTTGAAATCAGTGTTATATAGGCTTTGTTTTAGATAGCTCTGCATATAATCTTTATTCAGATTCGATTGATTTGTGAAAAGAAGTAAGTTTGAAAATTCTGATAGCCGTTAGTGTTTTGGAAAATGCTATGTGGAAATGGTTACATAATATGCTAGTCCTTTTTTTTAAAATGTAAATTTCAGGGAACAAAAATGAGATACTTTTTTTCCCCAGGACTATTTTGCAGGATGGCTTGCCACAGCAGGACATTGAAATTTTAGAACCAGTCAACATGCTTTTGTCCATACAGCGAAATTTATCGGTAACATGGTATGTGCAAATTCCAGGGATGGAGATAAAAGGAAAACTAAAACCTATGCAGGTAAGTATATAATATAAAATGTATGTAAATGCTAGGTAGGCTTTTATTATTGGTAATAGTGCAGTTCTAGTGTATATCAGAAGTGAGGCTATAGTAAATGGAATACTTTGTTAATTGCAAATGAGGTCATGTTCATTTTTCTCACTTTTCTTTATTTCATTTCAGTTAGATATTTGGTAAAACCAACAAGAAGTCTCAGATAAAACCTATTGTAGTCTACTGAAAATATCATTCTTAATTTTAGTAAGTTCTATTAAAGTTTTGTTGGAGTATAAAAAACTACTGATTTTTACATGTTTTTTTTGTATCCTGCAACTTTACTGAAATCGTTTATCAGCTCTGAGAGTTTTTTGGTAGAATCTTTAGGTTTTTCTATGTATAGGATCATGTCTTCTGCAGACAGGAACAGGTTGGAGTATAAAAAACTACTGATTTTTACATGTTTTTTTTGTATCCTGCAACTTTACTGAAATCGTTTATCAGCTCTGAGAGATTTTTGGTAGAATCTTTAGGTTTTTCTATGTATAGGATCATGTCTTCTGCAGACAGGAACAGTTTGACTTCATCTTTTCTAATCTGGATGCCCTTTGTTTCTTCGTTTTGCCTTATCACTCTAGCTAGTACTTCTAATACTATTTTAACTAGGAGTTGTGAGAACGGGCATCCTTGTCTTGTTCCCATTCAGGAAGATATTCGTAGTGGGTTTGTCATATATGGCTTGTATTATGTTGAGATATTTTTCTTCTATACTTAATTTGCCGAGAGTCTTTATCATTGAAAGTATGTTGAATTTTGTCAAATGCTTTTTCTGCATCTGTTGAGGTAATCATATGTTTTTTGTCCTTGACTTTGTTAATGTGGTGTGTCACATTTATTGACTTGTGTATGTTGAATCATCCTTGCATCCCTAGGATGAATCTCACTTGATTACGGTGTATAATTTTTTTGATATATTGCTGTATTCTGATTGCTGATATTTTGTTGAGGATTTTTGCATCTATGTTCATCAGAGAGATTGACCTCTAGTTTTCTTTTTTGTTGTATCTTTGTCGGGTTTTGGTATCAGGGTGATGCTGGCCTCATAGAATGAATTTGGGAGAATGGCCCCTGTTTCAATTTTTTTGTAATGGATTGGAGAGAATTGGTATTAATTCTTCTTTTTAAATGTTTGGTGGAATTCAGCAGTAAAGCCATCTGGTCCTGGCCTTTTCTTTGTTGGGAGACTGCTGATTACTGCTTCAATCTTGTTGCTTGTTATTGGTCTGTTCAGGTTTGCAGAGAAAGAGGAACTCTCCTAAACTGTTGGTGGGACTGTAATTTAGTGCAGCCATAATGGAAAACAGTACGGAGGTTCCTCAACAACTACAGATAGAACTGCCATATGATCCAGCAGTCCCACTGCTGGGTATATACCCAAAAGAATGGAAATCAAAAAAAAGACAAAAAGAAAAAAAAAAAAAAAGAATGGAAATCATCATGTCAAAGGGATAACTGCACTCCGTTGTTTATTGTAGCTCTGTTCACAATAGCTAAGAGTTGGAACCAATCTAAATGTCCATTGATGGACAACTGGGTAAGGAAAAGTGGTATGTATACACAATG